CCCCTCCCCCCCCCAAAGAACACTTACTACTCTGACAGGGGAGACAATTCACGTAAATTTGTGCTGCAAAGCAAGTCAATGCACCAGAATGTATGGTAAGAAAATTTCAGTATTTTTGGCGCATGAACCAGATTATTTGGATTTCTTTTCCAGGAACTCTGAGTGCCCTTCTCTCCCCCTCCTCCCCCCATAGTCCCCACTGGCCTGGTTCTGCCTTCCCCTAGGGCCCAGGCGGCTGGCACCCAGTAAATGGTAGTACCTCTTCCGTCCTTTTTCCCGCGTGGCCAGAGGAGGCATGGTCCAAATGCATCTGCCCAGGGAACATGTGTGGAACATGTGTGTACCCATGTTTATCTCAATCCCTTGAGCTGGAGGTGAGGCTGACTTGACTTGCCTTCCAGTGGTAATATGCGTGTGTTCTGCTTACAGGAGGCCGTATTTGCCTTGCTGAGCATCTAACCAACTTCTTATCAGCTGTTCTGTTTGCCTCTGGGAATCTTAGGGGAGGAGCATGGCAGCAGAAGCTGGAGCCCCGAAGTTGGAAGCCAGCAGGGGTAGTACAGTGCTTATGGGGAGGTGGTTAATTGGATAGAAAGAAAGGCCTGGGGGTGTGTGGGAAGCCTGGCGGGAGAGAGCCCTGAAGCTTCTGGTGGCAGCATTAACCGAAATAGCCTAGATGCAGCGTGCCTGCATTCAAAATTGTGTCCTGCTTGCTTTTGATTTTAGGTCGGGCTGGGGGGCTTCCCAAACACAAGTATCTTAAGAAAAAAAAGTCCTCCTGCTCCTCAGTGGCCCCCAGAACAGCGCTCCAATGAGCCAGGTCTGACTGTCCAGCAGCGGCAGCCAGTGCTTGGGCCCTGGTCCACGCCCGCCGCCTCGCAGGCTCATTTCCCACAGCCTATGCCTCTCCTGCACTGGGTGTCCCTGCTTCCTAGTATTGGAGCCGCCGGTCCCTGGCTGAGACCGCCTGCTGTCACCCCTCTTTGGGAAACTGTCCTGACCTGACCAGCTGTGGCTGGCTCAGGGTCACTGTGACAGGAAGTGGAGCCAGGACACAGTGCACCCCCAGGGCCGTGCACAGTCCATGGCGCTACCTGTGAAGCAGAGAGAAAGCGGGTGAGCCCGGTGAGAAGGATGGCGCCTGAATAACCAAGCGGGAATGGGAAGGAGGATGCCGGCTGATGTGGTTTAGAACCTGGGACGGTGAGGCTGCGGGACCCCCGATGCATATGGACATGCAGAGTGAGGCCTGGGGGTGAGGGCCGGGGCTCCCACAGAGGATGAGGGCTCCCACGGAAGCGGCGGTCTGGGGGTGGCCCTAAATTCACAGCGTCCATGGCGTGGTTCCCACTGTGGGCCGGTGGGAGGGCAGGCCAGAAGGGAAGGCGAGGGCAGGACCCTCGGGGACGTAGGTTCACATGGACAGGGCAGGAGGAGAAAGCACTGGGACGGACAGACATGGCCGCTGAGCAGGGAGGCCAAAGGAGGAGCAGCAGAAGGCAATGCACACGCAGGTTCCGAGAGGTGCAGGGCCGGGGAGGTGGGGGGGTACATGCGGACCAGGGGGCTGTGGGGCCCCGATGAGCAGCAGCGAGGAGGCAGCAGCGGGATACAGCACAGGCAAGGGGACAAGACCAGGAAACGGATACAGACGGTTGATAAAGACAAGTTTTGTGTGAAAGAGGGTGGAGGAGTCGTGGTGAGGGTGTTGCTGAATCATGAGAAGGTTTTATGGTTCAGGAGCTGGGAGGCCAGAATGACAAGTGGCTTCTCCACATGATTTTGGGGTCACCTGGTGGTGGCAGGACACGGGTGGCAGCGAGCCAGCTGCAGTGTAGATGGCAGATAGCAGGCGATGGGGACAGATGATAAGGACAGACCGGGAGGAGGTAGATAGCGTGAGGCCAAGGCTGGAAGGTCATGGGCAAGGCTGGAAGGTCATGGCCAGTTGGAAATGGGCTCAAAAGAAAAGCTTTTTTTTTAAAAAAAAAAGGGTCGAAAACCTAAGATTTGGGTGTGGGATGTGGCGTGGGGAGCAAAGACGATGCAACCGGCCTGCCTCTGTGCGGGGGGGAACATGTGCCGGCAGGAGAGGAGCACCCCCCCCCACCCCCCCACGCATCCTGAGGCGTCTGGGATTAGAGTCAGGGAGGAGGTGGAGGTCACAATCCCTGGCTGCAGGTCACTGGGCTGACACTCCAGGTCCTGAGAAGGCCCCGCCCGCTGCATGAAAGTCCCCCACCTGCCCCTCCCTCCCCCTCAGCTGCTGCCACTCATGGTCTTTGGGGAGGAAACCAAGCAGCCTGCCAGGCACAGCCTCTAGGACAGCCCTGCACAGGCCTCAGTCTCTGGGCTGCAGTGGCTCACAGTGAGTGAGAGGGGAGCCCCTGCAGGGTTGGCAGGACTTTCCAGACACCCCTCCTCGAGTTCAGCCCCCTACCCCAACACAGACCACTTCCCCTCCAGCAAGAAAAGTCAACCAACTAGGGACTGAAAAGCAGGTTCTGAAACCCTGAGGGAGGAGGGCGGGCCTCGCGGGCACAGGGCAGGCTCCTGGGAGAGGCAGCGATGAGTGGCCTGCACAGCAGACCCTGCCTGTGACTGCACCTGGAGGGCATGGGGGCGCGGGGCAGAGGGGAGGCGAGGCTGCAGACAAGCAGGGGCCCTAAGGCCCTTTCATGCCCATGCCGTTCCTTCTCTGCCCTGGAGGACGGACAGGCCAGCGAGAGCAGGTGCGATCACCACGCCACACCTGGGGCTGGTGGCCACCGCCCTGCAATGGCCCGGCTGATGGAATGGACAGTGGGCAGCTCCCTAAAAGGGGGCCCCGGGGGCACCAGCAGATGTAAACCTGGCTGAGCCCCAGTCTGCTCAGATGTGTGGCCATCGCTCCCCGCGCCTGGAGGGGTCTGGGCTGGCCCGGTAGCTGCTCCCCTGCCCAGCGGTAACCACGGGCTCGGCAGTCACGTCCCCCCACAACAGCCGTGTTCAGGGATCACTGCGCTCAGCTGGTGCACCGTGAACTCGCTCTGCTCACAGCTCATGGTGTCCTGGGGCCTGGCAGGCAGGAGCCTGCTGGGAGAGGCTGAGTCCTGCCCACCCTCCCTGCGACCCTCCACCCCGGCCCCCCACACATGAGTCCCCATGTCCCCCTGGACCAGGTTTGCAGAAGGCAGGGCAGGGAAAGCCGAGAAGGGAAGGTTTCAGCTAGCAGTGTGACAGCCTTGAAGCTGACTCTCTGCTGGGAGTTTTCATGTTACCCAGCCTCCTTTCTGCATCTTGACCGCCCCCCTCTCCCCCCCCCCCCCCCCACACACACACAGGCCCATCACCATTCGAAGGCAAAACACAAGCTGGCTGAGTCTGCATGTGGGCCAGGCTCCGCACCAGGTGGGGGGTTACCTGAACTCCCAGCAACCCCAGAAAACGGGGCAGTGACACGTTTGTTTGAAAGCGAGTGGATTTTCAGTGTCAGTGTCTTATTAACTTTGGTCTTGCAGCTGCACTTGGCCAGAAAGTCTTACTTACAAGGAAGTGGCTATTGAGAAAGCGGAGTAGCCACTAAGTCTCACTGCCCAGCTGTTACTTGATTTATGCTCCAGATTACCTCCGATGCAGCGTGCACTTTGAACCTCGCAGCAAAACAGCCTTCCTTCAGATGCTATGCCTTCTAATTCTTTAAGCAAATGTCCCGCAAGTGGTAGTTTAAGAAAGATCAGGCGTGCTTATCCTGTTTCAATTCAGTGAGATTTCAGGAGAGGAACTAAGGGATTTATAGGAACAAAACCTGCTTTGCATTCAGTGACTTAGGTGAGGTGACCTCCTGAACTTTAAATTTAAACATCACAGGGCGAGATTGGCTCTAAGATAAGAAACAGAATAAATTCTCTCCTCCGGGCGGCACTGAGGCTCAGACAGGACCAGAGATCATGGCGTTTAAAGGGGCCCCGAAGATCCAGCGGAAAGAGAACTATAACACATCCCTGGAGAAGAGGGGTAAGGGCCTCACTCTTTCGTGGTTCCTTCTTTTGCTTCCGTCTTCCTCACCCCATGACCCCGGGGGCTCTGGCCGGGTGCTGGCGCAGAGCAGGGCACACCCAGCTCCCGGCTTCTGCTGGAGACACACTGTCACTAGTGGAAGGAAAGGCCTTGGGTGCTGTCCCCTGAGACACAGAAAGATCCAGATGTTTCCTCGCGTTCGAGCTGACCGAGCCCTATGGGTGCACCTGCACAGCTTCTTTCTATAAAGGGAGGAACGGGGTGTGCATGACTGCTCCCAGGCCTGAGGCATTGAGTCCCAGGGCCGGCAACGCCAAGGCATGGAAGAGTGAGGGAGGGTCCTAGCAGGAGTCGCAGGCCAAGGCAATAACCTCAGAATAACCTCCCGACAACCTGGGTTCCTCAAGGAGGCCTTAGTTTAACTGCTTTAATATCTGTTCCAAGACACGGGCAGCCCACACGCTGCCCAAGAAGGGCAGACACACGTGTGTCATTACCCACAAGTAAAAGCTGCCTCCACTGTGACCAGCAGCTCAGGGGCCAGAAGCTCTATTTATGGAATCCATAGGCTGTATGATAATGACCTTGGCTGCAGTAATGGCTGACTTCCTCATTTCGGTGGCAGTCTTAAATGCCTCAGAAAGCAAAGATAATGACGAGGGTCACAATCTGAAGCCACTGTGGAAAGCAGAATTACAGTAAGAAAAGAATCCTGTATTTGTAGAATTAAAGTTGTATATCCTTACACATGGATGAATGTCATTTTATTTTATTTTATTTTATTTTTTAATATATTTTATTGATTTTTTACAGAGAGGAAGGGAGAGAGATAGAGAGTCAGAAACATCGATGAGAGAGAAACATCGATCAGCCTCCTCCTGCACATCTCCTACTGGGGATATGCCCGCAACCAAGATACATGCCCTTGACCGGAATCGAACCGGGGACCCTTCAGTCCACAGGCCGACGCTCTATCCACTGAGCCAAACCGGTTTCGGCGAATGTCATTTTAAACCTTATATTGGTCATATCTGGAATTTGGTTTAACTCTGAGTCAAAAATGTTGATCACTTCATTTTAATTACTTAGTTCTAAGGTTCTGTAATTCCATGCTCCATTTTTTTTTCCTCAAATTCAGGGAGTATAGCTTGCTGGGGAGGGACTTTTTCTGCAGAAGCACCTGCAGGTCTAAAAGGCCACGCCCTCAGGCCTTCCACCCCACCCTGCCCCATCCTCCCCCGACTCCTAGGAATGGTGGAGACTGGTGATGCTGAGTTAAGGCAGAACCGGTGCTGACTTCACTGCACCCCTCCCGCTTGCAGGCAACAATGTGGGGGAAAGGATGCATGAGGTCCAGGACAGTGTGAAGGTGGACATCAGCCTGGAAAGAAAGAAGATATCCGTTGAATTGTCTCGGAAAAAATCCTGGAAGGAGGAAATAACCTGGAGCAAAGGTTCCAAGGCAGGAGCGAGCCAGAAAAGCATGAGGAACCCAGTTTCGAAACCTGCCATCACTGACTGAAGATGGGTGCCATGCCCAGGCACGCAGGCTGGCTCCTCCTGGGCTCAGGAGTGGATGGGGATCCCAGGCTTCCCACACTCTGTCTTCCACTCACTGACTCAAGTGCAAGTGTGCAGCTTTGATTTTTGTATTCAATAAATAGTGATTCGCACCTATGCCCTTCTCTTGTAGGGAGAACAGAGCAAAGTGTGTCTGATGACAAAGCCAAGGGGTTTGGGGAGAGCCTCTCCTGGTGTGAGGCCCAAAGCCTGGGGCATCGCCAGCCTGGGGCATAGGGGCGGGGAAAGAGCCTCGCCTGGGAGTGAGGACCCTGAGTTCAGGGCAGTCTGTGACATCACCAGCTCAGGACACGGGAGTCACTTGGTCTCTTGGAACGTAGTTAAGTCCTCTTTACGAGGCCATTGGACTAGATGGTCCCTACAACCCGGTCCCGGTGCCAGATTCCATGGTCGGTGAACAGCATGCAGTGACTCCGTTAAGTGCCGTGCTGTGTGTCACAGCAGCTGCGATGGCAGAGGTGGAAAGGGAGTGACCTCTGAACCCCTCAGCATGCTGCCTCATGGCTGTGACTGCACTAACACTCAGGAAATTCTGAACCAGGAGCCCCGCATGTGCATTTTACACAGGCCCCGTTCCTGGGAGCCCGCTGGGACTAACTGTAACAGCCATTTTCCCACGAGCACCTAGAGCCTGGCAGATGCCAGCCCTGGCACCTGCAGATGGGCAGGGTGGGTGAGATGCTGTCTGGGGAGGCACTTCCAAGGGGTATGAAATGCTCTTGACCCTCTGCTGCCACTTGCTGTTTCTCAACCCTAGGATGAGACTGCCACCTGCTGGTCATGGTCATGAGCTATTTGAAGGCCTCCGGGGCAGGTGCCTTTCAGTAGGAGGAGTCCAGAAGGGCTGGGCATGCTGCATTCGGCAGTTGACAATATTTGGCAAAGGCTTCCTCATGCCAACGTCCAAACTCAACAGAAGCAACACAAAAACTCCTTCTCTGTCCTCCTGAACAAACCCCAAAGTGGCTTTCATTGGTTTTATAACAGCACTGTGTGTCAGGCATCAAGTATCTACACTAATAAAAGAGAAACATGGTATTTAGTGTCACTACGCTACCCTTCCCATTGGCTAAGCTCCCTGTCACTCACAGAGTAGGGCCGAGATATGCAAATTAACAGGCAGCCAAGATGGCGGCCGGCAGCCAGGCAGCTGATGCAAACAGGGAGGCTTGCTTGCTTCAGTGACGGAGAACTCCAACGTTCCCCGCCTGACTTGCTGGCCTCTCAGCTGCAACTCTCAGCAACTATGTTGCGAATAAAGAAGCTAAAAAAAAACCCAGAAACCTGCTTTACTCAGCGGAGCTTCAGCCAGCTGGACCGCAACATTGTATCAAATACAGACGGTAAACAAAGGCCAGAAACCTGTTTTCAGCAGCCGAGGCCTCAGAGCTAAAGCTGGCCCAGAAAAAAAAGAAAAAAGAAAAAAAGGAGCAGTTGGGAGCTTCAGTCCCAGCCTGAAAACAGCCCTCAGCCCCTCAGCCAGACTGGCCAGGCACCCCAGTGGGGACCCCCACCCTGAAGGGTGTGTGACCTGCTGCAAACATCCATCATCCCCTCAGCCAGGCTGTCCAGGCACCCGAGTGGGGACCCCCACCCTGATTCAGGACACCCTTCAGGGCAAACCAGCCAGCCCCACCCATGCACCAGGCCTCTACCCTATATAGTAAAAGGGTAATATGCCTCCCAGCACCAGGATCAGCAGAGCCGCGAGGCCCCAACCCCCCAATCGACCCTACCCTGAGCGTGACTGAGGGTGGCATCGCAACCTCCCGATCTGCCCTGCTCTGTGCATGACAGGGGAAGGCGCCCCAACTCCCCAATCGGCCCTGTTAAGAGCCCGACCAGGGGCTGCACCTAGGGATTGGGCCTGCCCTCTGCCACCCAGGAGCAGGCCTAAGCCAGCAGGGCGTTATCTCCCGAGGGGTCCCAGACTGCAAGAGGGCACAGGCCAGTCTGAGGGACCCCCGTTCCCCCAAGTGCACAAATTATTGTGCACTGGGCCTCTAGTTCAATAATAAATGCCACTGGTAAGATAGTTATTAAGACTGTCATCAACAGATTCACTGGGTCTGCGTGTGCTGACATGCACTCATTCTGAGTGTGCTGACATGCAGGGTAACACTTGTTCTGACTGCTGACGTGCAGGGTGACACTCGTTCTGAGTGTGCTGACGTGCAGGGTGACCCTCAGCGTGTACTGACATGCAAGGTGATGTATACTTATGAACACCAGGTTCAACAACCAGGCTACTAGTTGGAAGAGACGTCACAATCAGCAGGCAGAGTCAGCGGGAAGTGGCAGAAGTTGCAAAATGTAGGGCCATGGAGCAAATTATCAGAAGGGTGTTCTGAGGGCTTCTCTGGTCCCTCCACACTCCCACTGAGAATTCTGTGAAAGTCTTCCCTTTGGTGGCAGCCAGATCACCAGGAAGAGAAGAGAGAAGGCAAGTCCTTCCCAGTAGTAAGTGGGCAGGACTCCTGTATGGGGAGGTGGAGTGGAGCCTGGGGAGGGAGGGAGCTCTCCTGGACCTCTGCCCAGACACAAGGTCACGTCCCAGAGGACAGTGGTATAAGGCGTTTTTTCAGACAGTTCTGCTCCACGGCCCACACTCAACACAGGAAGCACCTGGAGCCAGAGAACTATGCTCCCCCTCTTTCACAAAGAGAACATACCCAAAGTGCTTCAGGTCAAGGAGTATGTGCTCACTGCCATTTCTTGGTTTTCCTTTAGGTAATTTTTTTACCTTGTCTTCTAACTCGACAATTCAGTCCTCAGTTTCTTCAGAACTACTGTTGAAACCTTCTGTTGTGTTATCGCAGCTATGTCACTCTTCATTTGCTCTTGATTCTTACTCATGTTGGTGAAATTCTCATTTGGCTCATAATTCTCATTGAGCTGCATGTATTTTTCATCCAGATATTTGAGCGTCCTTATAACCATTACTCTGACAAATTACTGGCCTCCATTTCATTTAGTTATTTTCTGGCAATTCCTCCTTTTCTTTCCTTTGGGGATTGTTTCTTTGTTTCCCCATTTTTGCTGTCCTGTTGTAATCATTTCTATGTATTTTTTTTTAAAGAAGATATCAAGATAATAAGGATATCAAAGGACAAATATGACCCAGAATGTCTTTGTTTCAACATGTACTTGGACAGAAAAACTGGAATGAGGATGGCCCTTACTTCACACCTAGGCCCCTGAGTGTGCCTCCTGTGTGCCCACAGCACAGAGGGCTCGCCAGTATCACACCAGCACTCTGGACCCAGTGGGTTCAGTTGCCGCCTGCAGGCTGTGAGGTCTCCAAGACCAGGATGGTCTCAGTTCTGTGCACCCATGTCCCTCTCACATACAGCAAACAATCATTGTAGCTAGATGATACCTGGGCCTGCGGGCAGCCAGCCAGCCTCCTCACCTGTGTTCTGAGGCTTGCACACAGATAATCCAGTGCTGAGCAGTTCGCCCCACTCCAGCTAATGTGAACTCAGCGATGGATGAGACAGACTTGTGTTGTCCCCACAGAGCTTCGAATCCAGCCTAGGACAGAATCTGGAGGTAGAAACAAACAGAAACCACTGTGATAGGCATTACAAGGAAGTGGCCGAAGCTCTCATAGACTCATGCAGCATCTAAACTCATGTTTCCATGGGCCTCCTTCCCCACATACCGGTTATGTGGCCTCCCTGAGTTATAGGAGGCCTGTCGCACACTTGATAAGGATGTGTTCTTTCCATCCTTACTTAATTTGTAACCGGACATGAAAAGTCTGGTTCCCAGGACCTAAAATTATCTTCAAAATTCAAATTGGCTCCAAAATACGAAGACAGCATTGCAAACTACAAATATTTTATCCACAGAACACAGCACTAGCTGAGATGAAGTTCAGTGCACCTCGCCCCACCTTCGTGATGTCTGTAATGAGCAGACGCTGTCGAAGTGCCTCTTAAAAATCAATGTGTGTTAATGCTCACGGACCACACGAGAACCAGCACTGCAACCCTCACTTAACCGAGGGGGTAACTGAGGAAGAGGGGTATGGAACTTGACCAACACGACAGCCAGGAAGTGGCTGGAAAGGGCTCCGGGAGCGGCGAGGGCCAGGCGACAGGACCGCGCCGCAGCAGAACCACGAGGGGCGGCCTTTTCCTTTCTCATGTTCTCACAGGATGCGCCACTTTCTCATGTTCTCACAGGATGTGCCACTTTCTCATGTTCTCACAGGATGTGCCACTTTCTCATGTTCTCACACGATGTACCACTTTCTCATGTTCTCACACGATGTACCACTTTCTCATGTTCTCACATGATGTACCACTTTCTCATGTTTTCACATGATGTGCCACTTTCTCATGTTCTCACACGATGTACCACTTTCTCATGTTCTCACACGATGTACCACTTTCTCATGTTCTCACACGATGTACCACTTTCTCATGTTCTCACACGATGTACCACTTTCTCATGTTCTCACAGGATGTACCACTTTCTCATGTTCTCACAGGATGTACCACTTCCTCACGTTCTCACACGATGTACCACTTTCTTGTGTTCTCACATGATGTATCACTTTCTCATGTTCTCATGTGATGTAGCACTTTCTCATGTTCTCACATGATGTACCACTTTCTCATGTTCTCACATGATGTACCACTTTATCTTCTTCCAGCAGCTGCATTACAGGAGGGTGTGCATCATGGGGTGGAGAGGGGGTTGATATTTTCTGAGTCTCTATGAGCTTTTGTTTTGACTGCCTCTTTTCATACTATGAAGGTAAAAATTGCCATGTATATCATCCTAGTCATGATCCAGCACTGTCCTGCTGGGTGTGTGCACATGGCAGATACATGAGAACTAGAAAGAGATGTGAGCACAAAATGTCAATGCACAGATTGGAGAACACCTGCCCTTCTGCAAAAGCGAGCGCTCAAATCCACTGTTAGGTTATAACTTCATTGAAAACTTCACAGAGGAAACAGGATTTAGATTTTCACATGCTTTTA